GAGATCTCTGCTGTGCTCTTTGTTTCTCCTCATTTCCATGCATGGACAGAAAGGTGTGTTTTTTCCTCTGTGCAGTAACAGGTAGTTGCCTGCCATTAACACAGAAGGGGTCCTTCTTGGGCTGAGGATTCTCTGGGCTCGAGGTCTCCTAACAATCTCATTATCCTAAAGCTTCTTATCTGGTCTGTCTTCCATCTCTTGACATAACTCTGCTATCCCTCTCTCCCAAATAAAAAGAAAATCAACCTTACTTCACTTTGATTTTAAAACTACAAGTCACATAAGATGCTTTGATGTGAAGAAAGAGCTCAAATAAAACCATTCAAACCATGACAGTTGATCCTACTACAAAAAAGATTTTTAAAAATCACTCTGCAGAGCTATGTAGAACTGGGTACCAGGTTTATATCAAGGGATAATCACTAGTTCTGATAAAATAATAAAAGGAAGTCTTTTCATGTAAAATGCTTAGATGTAAATATTTTAAGTGTTTTATACTTTTTCTGAACCCAGTAAAACTGGTTTATAAGTCTGGAGTATTTGGTGTTACTCATCTTTTAATTAATAGTACAGCCAGTTATTTTCACAGGAAATCAATACTTATAATAATACCTTACATTTCACTTAACAGGGTAAGTCTTATTCCCCATGTGAAGAGTTAAAGGTCACTGAACTCTGTTTACAAATAGGAAAGCCCAAAAGAATTGACATACCAACTACAAAATTGAATGAGAAAGATGAGTGTATGTAAGTATATTACATACACTTATGTAATTTATTATTCATGCATAAGACCAATGTCCCCGTAAGGGTTGGTCAGCAGTCAGGACATTTATACTGGCTTAACAGACTGAAATTTTATTAAATTAATGTTTACTCGATGATAATACCTGATTCTTTTTATAGCTCTTATTCACACTGGTAAAGTTTCTTCAACATGGCAGTGGGGACTAGATTTTACATCTGTGCTTCTCAAACTGTCTTTGAGGGGGGAGCAGTTCAGTCTTGAGCCAATACTTAAGTAAAAAAGAAATATTTTTTAAATATCACGCCTTTAGTTGTTGCAGCAGTATCAGCTTGTCCTAAAGGATTCCAAATGGTCGCTTTCAATTACTTGCAGACCAGGTTTTTTTTAAGGCCTCAGACTGGTGCTGGTCCTTTGTGAACAGCATAAAGACCACTCATGGAAATTCTTGCCTTAACAGAGGAGTCTGAAGCCACTGTTTAAGTATCATTGCACCAGACGATGCTTGTTGCTGTCACAAACGGAAAAAAAGAACCTGGCCTTCCCTTTTTTCCCTTTGATGATTTCTAACTTCCTTCTATCAGTTTATTGAAAGACATGCTAAAACTGATAGCCACCCCTAGCATGGATCTTGCAGACTCATTGTGTTGCTAAGAAAGTCAACTTTGTTGCTTGCTGCAGTTCTACCACTTATGAACATGATGTTATTAGATACTCTTGATCGAATGTGAATGATGGCTTCTTTGGAAAAAACCTCGGTGGCACATCATACAGTCTGGGTTCAGGGGGTACAACTCCAGTGTGAATGTATCATGTAGATATTTGTCCTGTTCCCAAGCACATTTTTTTACAATGATGTTACACAGACCTTCAATGTTAGTATAAATTGCTGCTTCTCTTACCGCTATATATAGATGAAGCTTCTCTTTTATAATTCAGGCTACTAAAAAAATCCTAAGACTTGCTTACCTGGACCTCTTACACCAGAAGTAAGTGGTTTAACACAGGTAACAGTCTCCATTTTAGCAGACAGCTACTCTGGACTGAAAGTCTGAAAGGTGGTCATTTCAGAAATAGCAGCAGGCATTGTGGCAGGCCAGGAGAAAAGAGAAACCATATGGGACTGCTGTGTACTGTTGGGCGAGGGAAGACAGGAGGGTTATGGAGAAGAGATGCCTCAGGTGGGTTTGATCAGTTGCTATGGTTTTGCAGGCCTTTTTAATACCAGCGGCTGGCAGCTGTGTAAGTACATTATCGACATGCAGATTCAGATGCAGGGTCCCTGGGAAGAACCTAAGGAAGAAATGACCGTATGCTGCTCAGGTCGGGTTCAGCCTGAGAAACAATCCACAGTGAAAGGCTCTAGAAAAGAACAATCAAGAGAGTGGATTTGATGGTAAAGAAAAATGGTATAGAAGAGGATATGACATACTCTGGAGACCAGCCTTGTTCCGGAGAAGTTCTGTGTCTCATCACCAGCTCAGTGTGCTCACCCCGGAAATGGCATCACAGAATGACAGTCATTGTGTTCAGTGAACTTGGAGTCAGGATTTCTGGGTGCAAGCTCTGGACTCCAAGTTAACATCTTGGCAACCTTAACAAGCCATCTCACCCTTTTTCACCTCTGTTTTCTCATCTGTTAAACATGCGCTGAGCTCTGGAAGCTATTATGAGATTCAAATGAGATAATCTATACAAAAGCCACAATTTAAAATTTCTTTATCTGCAACACCAACACCCTCCCTTGCTTAGCCTATCCCCCCACCCTAAAAAAAAAAAATAAATAAATAAAGTAGAGCAATTGCTATGAATGACACTTTTTTTCTAATGGCTAATGCAGGACTCCAGGATCATCCAGATTCACCATTTATTTACCCACATCATTATATTGACAATTCTAAGGAGATAGCTGCAGGAGAGCCTTTGGTCTGAAGGTTAATTTCATCCACAGGATGACAGAGGGACATCTGTGTGTGACAATTTATGTAAGAATGGACACCCTCATACACACACCCAAGCATTTTACACACTGTGGGTGTGTAAAATGATAGAATGCTAGGAATCAGCCTTATAAGGAACAGCACATAATTATCAGAGCTTCTTTTTTTTTTAAAGGTTTAACTACGTTCTTTTTGCAGAGAACAGGAACCTGGAAGGCATGAGCTCTGAATTATAGTTCCACTTTTTTTTTTAAAGATTTTATTTATTTATCTTTAGAGAGGAAGGGAAGGAAAGAAGGAGAGAAATATCAATGTATGGTTGCCTCTCATGAGTCCCCTGCTGGGAACTGGCCTGCAACCCAGGCATGTGCCCTGATTGGGAATCGAACCACCATCGTATGGTTCTCAGGCCCACACTCAATCCACTGAGCTACACCAGCCAGGGCCAGAGCTGCTTTTTTTTAAGTAACTTAAATAAATGACAAGTTTCTCCTTAAAATCAAACTAGTTGTCACGGTTCATACCATATAACTGTGGTCCAGAGAGAATCTTACATCACAAGGCTGAGTAGACCTGTCTATGAGAGAGAATTTTCCATTGCAAAAGTAGTACCATTCTCTTTATTCTGCTTTTCCTAATGTAACATCTAACATAAGCATAGTACCACTGCTGAAGCCAAGATATTAAGATTGATATCATACTATTAAGTAATCTAGAGGCTATTCAAATTTGCCAGTTTTCCCACTAATGCCCTTTTTCTGATCTAGCATTTCTAGGATTTCACGTTATGTTTATATATCCTATTTTCTTAGTTGCCTCTAATCCGTAACTATTCTTTGTTTTAAAAAAAAATATTTCCCAACTTCACACTTGAAAGAGTACTAGCCACTGTTTTGTAGAATGCTCTTTAATTTCAGTTTGTCTGCTGTTTTCTCTTGATTAGATTGAGGTTATAAATTTTTGACAAGAAAACCACAAAAGGAATGAGGTGCCTTTCTTAGTGAATATATCACTAGGTACAAGATGATACTTATCACTGGTAAGGTTAACTTTGATCACTTGGTTAAAGTAGTCTGCTAAGTTTCGTCATGATAAACTAATGATTTTTCTCTTTGTAATTAATAAGTGTGTCTTTTGGTCATTGTTGGTTTTTTAAATCGGTGTTAAGGGTACAGCAAATGTCTCTCATGGAAGGTTGCAAAGAGTCCTGTCCTGGTGGAAAGAAGCTGTGCCCTGGAAAGTGATGGAGTAATTATTTAAGTGTTTGAATAGATTGCTCAATCCATGCTGAAATAGATTGCCTGACATTACACTGCAGAATTTTTAAGTTCTACCTCCAGGCAAATCTCATAGTTACTAGCAAAAATGAAAGTGTGAAATGCTTTTTAATGTATATTTAACAATACATAGTGTCGTGATTACTGCTGTGTATTCTCTGTGGACTCCCTTGCTATCAGAGGACGATGTTAAGAGACAACATTTTTACACATTTATTCTATCTAAATCCATCACGTTTACTTTCTAAATATCTGTAACTGTCATTTATAACAGATCATAAAAGTCAAATGTTTTGATTCTAACTCAAACTTTGAATCATAGGATTACAATCAATTTTCTGGAAAAGTACAATTACTGTTTGTTCTAACTCTACCTTAAGGTAGAGTTAGAGCAAACAGTAAATTGCCCACTATTAAATGTCACTAGAATATAGCCATTAAGAAAACTATATATGGCTTAGTAATGGGGTATAGGAGGTAATATCACTTTATTCATCTTTTTTATTTAGAAAGTTACATAATAGTTCCTTTTGAAAGGAATTTTCATTATTGAGCCCAGTGGTATGTCTGCTTGTGTTGAAAAAAATAAAATTCGCAAAATACACTTAATTCTTTCCTACAGTGTCATTATTTAATAAGGATTAAGGTAACTTTTTTGTGTTTTTTACTGGGTTTCACAGCAAGAGTTCATGTCTTGTACTAATGTATGCTAAATAGCTGCATAGTATATAGACCATTGTTGTTAAAGTAGCAGTAGTGAAGGAATTTTAGATCACAGAGCCCCAGTGGTCTACATTTTGTTTGTTTTGACATTATTAAACTCAATCTGTTTCTCTAACTGTGACTCTAATTACTACATTTGCATGGCAGAAAAGTTTGCTTTGTGGGTTGACTTTTATTAACAGTGTTTGCATGTTGTTTCCTGCTCTCGCTCTCGATATTTCCTGAGCAGACAGAGCACCTTCAGTTACATTGAATAATTATGCACAATCAATAAGTTTTTGTTTGTCTTTGTTGTTTCTTTGATGTGGCCTCTAGGATGCTGCCGGCAAGGTGCTGGACCGCTGGGCCATCATGTCTCGAGAAGAGGAAATCATCACCCTTCAGCAGTTTCTGCGGTTTGGAGAAACCAAATCTATTGTAGAGCTGATGGCAATTCAGGAGAAAGAAGGCCAGGCTGTGGCTGTACCATCTTCAAAGACAGACTCAGACATAAGGACTTTCATTGAGAGCAATAATCGCACCAGGAGTCCCAGCCTCCTTGCTCACCTAGAAAATAGCAACCCTTCCAGCATTCACCACTTCGAAAACATCCCCAACAGCCTTGCATTTCTGCTTCCATTCCAGTACATAAACCCAGTCTCAGCCCCACTGCTAGGGTTGCCTCCAAACGGGCTACTGTTAGAGCAACCAGGACTGAGGCTGCGGGAACCGAGCCTTTCAACCCAGAATGAATATAATGAGAGCAGCGAATCTGAAGTGTCTCCCACACCTTATAAGAACGATCAGACTCCCAATAGAAACGCCCTGACCAGCATTACTAACGTGGAGCCCAAAACCGAGCCACCCTGCGTATCCCCCATTCAGAATTCTGCCCCAGTCAGTGATCTGACCAAAACTGAACACCCAAAAAGCTCATTCCGGATCCACCGGATGAGAAGAATGGGGTCAGCCTCTAGGAAAGGAAGAGTGTTCTGTAATGCATGTGGGAAGACATTCTATGATAAAGGTACTCTCAAAATTCATTATAACGCTGTTCACCTGAAGATCAAACATCGATGCACCATTGAAGGTTGCAACATGGTCTTTAGCTCCCTCCGAAGCCGTAATCGCCACAGCGCAAACCCCAACCCTCGCCTTCACATGCCTATGTTGAGGAATAACCGAGACAAAGATTTAATTCGGGCCACTTCAGGAGCTGCCACCCCTGTCATAGCAAGTACAAAATCAAATCTCACACTCACCAGCCCTGGCCGTCCCCCAATGGGTTTTACCACTCCCCCACTAGACCCTGTCTTACAGAGTCCTCTGCCTAGCCAGCTGGTATTTTCTGGGCTAAAGACTGTCCAACCAGTCCCTCCATTTTATAGAAGTTTACTCACTCCAGGAGAAATGGTGAGCCCTCCCACCTCCATTCCGACCAGTCCCATCATTCCATCCAGTGGTACCATAGAGCAGCACCCTCCACCACCCTCTGAGACAGCAGCACCAGTAGTGATGATGGCCACTCATGAGCCCAGTGTTGACCTGGCCCCCAAGAAGAAGCCCAGGAAGTCCAGCATGCCTGTGAAGATTGAGAAAGAAATTATCGATACTGCTGATGAGTTTGACGATGAGGACGATGACCCAAATGATGCTGGAGCTGTGGTAAATGACGTGAGCCACGACAATCATTGCCACTCCCAAGAGGAAATGAGTCCAGGCATGTCAGTGAAGGACTTTTCTAAGCATAGCAGGTCCCGGTGCATTTCAAGGACTGAAATAAGAAGGGCTGACAGCATGACTTCTGAGGATCCAGAACCTGAGCGGGATTATGAGAACGAGTCTGAGTCTTCAGAGCCCAAACTGGGTGAGGAGTCCATGGAGGGGGATGAACACATTCACAGCGAAGTGAGTGAGAAAGTCCTGATGAACAGTGAGAGGCCTGACGAGAACCACAGTGAGCCCTCTCACCAGGACATCATCAAGGTGAAGGAAGAATTCACAGACCCCACTTATGACATGTTTTACATGAGCCAGTATGGACTATACAATGGTGGGGGAGCCAGCATGGCTGCCCTGCACGAAAGTTTTACATCGTCTCTGAATTACGGCAGCCCTCAAAAGTTCTCCCCAGAAGGTGACCTGTGTTCTAGCCCTGACCCCAAAATCTGTTATGTGTGCAAGAAGAGTTTCAAAAGCTCCTACAGTGTGAAGCTTCACTACAGGAACGTTCACTTAAAAGAGATGCATGTCTGCACGGTCGCTGGCTGCAATGCTGCCTTCCCCTCTCGCCGAAGCAGAGACAGGTCAGTAAATCTCCATTGGCTGCTCCTGCTGGGGGTGGAGGGTGCCATTCATGTTGGATAACGTTAAGAAATCTAGCTTAGATGTGTGTGATGCACTGTAAAGATTGTCCACAGTGAACACAGATAACCAAGCTGCCATGCTCATGAAGGATTGTTGCAGTTGGTGCTTGTCATGATTAAGCATGCAGAATCATGTGCCATCTTACCCAGTAATGCACGCCATTTTTCTCTGTGCTCTGTGTATGTGTGTGTGTGTATGTTTTTCCATGCATCTAGATGTGTGAATCAGTTAACTGTGTACACAATTCCCTGCTTCCCCATGAACTTTCACTTAGAAGCCACAGCTTCGGTTATAAATATTTCTGCTTTGACTTGTGGCTTTTTAATTAAATCAATATATTATCTTCATACACACATATTTATCCAATATAGAAACAGAAATTTACGGATGGAAAGAACCGTAGGTCCAGGACATCGAGACAGCCTCCATCTCCGTAGGTATAACCAGAAATGTTATCATTCTTACATGAGTATTTAGTGTGTCCTTGAATTCTTTGAGTCATAAAAATATCAGATGAAAATGGGACCAAAGTAATTGTTAATATGGGTAAATGGTATGGTGGTGTAGGTTTCTTTATTTTAGCTTGACAATGTCTTTAGCAAATCTCAAAAATATACTCTATCGTGGGAATTCTTCACAGAAGGGAAGGCATGCATAGACTTCTAGGAGCTCTTAGAATATATAATGTCCAGCCTTCAGATGACATCATACCTTAGCTATGTAGCTGCAGCTCTGAAACAGTTGGGCTTAAACAGAAGCAGCTGGTCCTAAACCAACAATGTTCTTTTTTAGTCCTAAAGAAAATGTCATATAAATGGAATGTGTCAAGGTGGTCAGGGGTGGGGTACCACAGTTACCCGGCCCTGAGGGAGATGTGCTTATGAGCATATCATTTACATACCACACCAGCCCAGCTAGAGACACACCAGTTCATTTTCCTATTATATTGGATGTGGATTTTTTGTTTCACATTGTCTTTTAAAAATACTTTGGAGAAAAATTTATTGTGTGCTAAAAATCAGTATCTGTAGAAGAAACAAAATTAGCTAGGAGGTTTGGCCATAGCCACCACCCAGAGTCTAGTGCTTATCAGTTAGGTAGAGCCTTTGACAAAGTAACATACAATTAAAGTGCCACTGGAAAGTAGTGACCTGCTTCTAGAATATTTAAAAGATTAGCCTTTTTAAAAAATAAAAGTTAAAATGTATTTCATGTATTGAAGTACAGTTCAAGGGGCCCAATTCATGAAAAGCAAAATTTCTGAGAAAAACAAGTGGCTTACTTTATACAACTCAAAACATGTTTTGAAGAAAAATCTATCTTTTTAAAGATTTCCCCTCCTGAAGTACCTCTTCCCCACTCCCATTTACCTTGTTCTGTGGAAATGGTTTGTGATCACCAAATTCTTTTCAGTTCTGAGTTACTGTCCATAGTCCCAGAATATGGCAGACAAGATAGCTATAGTGCAAATAACAAAATACAATACTATGCCCAAACTTTTCTTCCCCGAGTTTGTAATGTTCATTCTTTTACTTTTAAAATAGTGCTCTAGTGATAATGAGGTTAATGCATTGGATTTTTTAAACAAAAAATAAAAGACTCATGAAAACCTGCTAAAATATTTATGAAAATGGAATGTTTGAAGACAAGCCAAAATTTAAGCGTATTTGCATGAACTCCTATCACAGTTTTAGTTGGTTTGCTGAAAACATTGTTAAGTCATAACACTGGAATGAATGACTGTAGGACCAGAAGTCTACAAAACTGAAAGCTCGGTGCTTTCCTCTACAGCACTGCATTTTTGTGTCTTGATGCATAAGCAGGTCCTGTTGAGAAGGTGGTTTGTCTAAGGGAAAGACACTTGTTGATAAGGGAGTATAGTATTTCGATCTTCATTTTTATTCTAAGGATTGGGAGTAGGGCGAGTGACCAGCCTTACAGGAATTTAGACCAGTATATTCTAAGTGGGAAAATAATACTGATATTCTCCCATGTATGTTCAGTCACACAAGAGATGGCACACCTCACAAGACAGGTGACACATTTCATTGGGCTGAAATATCACATCACACCTAATCGTTTTAATTCTGGATATTGTCACACATGATCAATGAAGAAAAACAAGTTGAAAAAATACAAAGAAAGATTTTAGATTTTCACTTAAAATTTTGCTCTTCAGGAATGGTCAAATGCTTCGATCCCATGTTAAAAACTTAACAAAAACTCTGATACTTTAATGTTGAATTTTTTTCTTAAGAAAAAAGATGTTCTTCTCTGTTGAATCTATGACTTTAATTAATATGCAATGAAAGTATATTTACCACCTAATAATTAGAAATAGTGATTCCTTTTGGGCACCATCCTCTTGCTAAGTCATAGCAGATTGGACTCGAACATAATTTTATTCCTGTTCCAGCACTTTATCATCATTTCATCAACTAATTTGACCTATAATTTCATCTTCTTATTCACAGAGCCTCTTGAATCACATTTCTGATCTACCCGTAAGACTACCTTTCCCTTTCTCTGAACTTTTACTGTGCTAATCACAAGAACCCCAGGACTTTCGTGTCCCTGCTTTTTCCTCTGCAATGAAGCTAAGGCATTTTTCTTACTTTTCTTTGAGCCAACAGACCTTCCAAAACAGAAACCATCCTTTGCCTTTAATCCTGTTGTCCTCGGGCCCATTCCTTTCCCTTCCCCAGAGTCTTGATTCATCCATCCTTGACTGCACAGTGTCTTCCTTGTGCAAATAAAGCATTAGAAGGGATTTTGACTGAGGGCTGAAGTGTGCAGAGCTACAGGGCTTCTAGGATGCCTGTGATAAAACTAACAGAATAACCTTTTCCCTTCTGTTTATAAAAACAGCCTTTTGTCTTCGGGCTTAGAACACCTTATAAGAGTGGTACACAGGTCTCCTTGGGCTTCTTCCAAGGTGCTTATACACGAGGGAGCTGCATTTTTGTCTCTAGATAGGCATGTTAGTAAGAGGAAAGTAGAAAGATGTTAAATACTATATTTGAGATTTGGCAGCTAGTTAACAGAGATTCCCAGACCTTTGCTATGGTCTTTCTAGATTTTATAAGATCAAATTGAAGGCTTTTTGATTAGCAAGAATATTCTTTGTCTGAAGTCAGCAAAAAGGGAGAAAAGAGAGAGAATGGGACACACATGTCTGAGGATTCTAAGTGTCCTTCTTTACACAGTTGTGAATGAATATGAGCTTAAGAAATTCAAAAGCAAAGAGGACCATTCACGTTAATGATGAAGAGCAAGCTAATACACACAAAGCCCAATTCATTCAGTCAGTAGGTGGCTGTAAAAATAACGTAAATTATTTTCTCTCTAAAGAACTATGATACTAAAAGGTAATTGAGTGTGTACTGATAACATTATGTAGGGTTACTCCTGAAAATCTCTGAACACCCTTCCTTCCTTTTTGTTTATCCCATGATTTTTGTGCTATGAAGATACTGTTCTGTCAGGGAATAGGAAATTGGCCCTCAGGTTTTTTTGTTTGTTTGGTTGTTTGTTTTAATTTTTACTGATTTTTAAGAGAGTGAGACAGACAGACCTCGATTTGTTTTTCCACTTGAACATTCATTGGTTGTTTCTTGGATCTGCCCTGACCGAGGATAGAACTTGCAACCTTGGTGTTCAGGTTAATGCTCCAACCAACTGAGCTACCCAGCCAGGATGGGCCTCAGTTTTGAGGTATTCACATGAGATACTCCCTGGGAAGAAGAAATTATAAATAATGGGCCTAGAACCTACAGTCTTTCTAAGGGAAATTTTCTTGAAGTGTGTGTCATATAATTAGCTGGGTCTACTTTGCTTTTGGTCATATTCTCACCCTTGGTCTTGAATTTTGATCCCCAGAAGGGCTGAGTAGCTATAGATCACCTGTACTGAAGGTAACCCCATTTATAAAGTACATTTGCTTTTTATTCATAAAATAGATACCCTCTGTTCCCTACTTCCCTAAAATTTCTTATTATTTGCTAATATGGTAAAGCCTATTTACATCTGCTTTAGAGATTGGCAATTTTAAAACTCCCTCAACAAAAGTGAAAACTTTCTGTACAGAAACTTGGTGATCTACATTGAAAAAGTATGTGTCTCTTTGTTTTTCATTTTATATGATTTCTACCATTTTTGCTCCTCTCTTTCTTTGAAAATAGTAGCCACTAATTGCCAAAGTTTGTCTTCAATTTTATCATAAAAGTAAATGTATTTGTTTGATCTTCAAGGTGTAGGAAAGGTGATTCAACTCCATGAATAAATTTAAAAACAAAATAATATTTGCTTTGGATGAGTTATAAATAAATATGAGGCAACCATTTGGTACCAAGTGTGAGCCTTCTCTTTGACTGCTAGTTAAACCCGTCCAGATTTAAACACGTAAACTTCTTGATTTGTAGAGAGTAAGACATCTGTATTTGGTTTATTAAAACCTGCTGATGTCTCCAGAACTAAATTTGTTCATGTATAGGCCTCTGGGTAGCTGTAGCTAAAAAAGCAAAGATGTATAGTTTTTGCTTGTCTGGTTACCTGACTTCCAGCCCTGTACAGGTGTGCAGGAATAAATTAACATGAGCTACCTCTGATGAGCCACTGCATGCATTAACAACAGAGGTGAAGATGTGAAAGCATGCTACCTGCCTCCTGTTATCACCTTCTCAGCAGCAGCATCGATTTTTCCCATCATTATCCATGTTAGGAAACTTATAGAGAACTTTTCTAAGAGATTTTCAATAATTACACATGATTTCAGTAGGCAATACCTCCATGAGCCACTTAGCACCAATTCAGGATAACTATTAGTATATTTGCCCTAATATAATTAGCTATCAAATACAGTATGTTAATCCTCTCTAAGGTATCAGCCATTTATTTCATTTCCTATGTGTTTTTCAATCAAATTGCAATTCTCCTTTTC